AATATTTTAACCCTATCTTTTAACCATGTTTAACCATATCTTTTATTTCTACTTTTGTACTACTTATAATGAAGCTCAATCTAATATCATTTTAACTTTTATGCTTCTTTGGTAAGAAATATGATATTACAGCATTCAGGGATTTCTAAAACCGGAATTTCTGTAGTTATCTTTTGAGTACTATATAAATAAAAATATAACTGTGTAGTTATGTGCATAAAAAGGGCAAACATGGGACTTCGGTATCCTGTGAGATCTTTTGGATACTAATTTGGTCTGTACAAGGAATTATTTTTCAGTTAAAATTTAAAATAAACATATCCTATCAGCTGCTCACATCTATTGAACTGACATATTCTGCACATAGTCTTGCAAATCATGTAAGTTCATGGAACTCATGGAACTACAGAACAAATGCAAAACAAATTCCTTTGAAAAGACAATATTTATGTAGCTGATCATGATTTTCATTGCCACACATAAATGTATCATCCTAGCTATTACAACAAAATCATTCTTGTTCATAATACCAGAAGGCCTAATACATTGTAAATGACAACACAGTGGTGCCAGCCTATTGCACACTTGTATGAACACAATAAAAATTCACAGCCCAAGGAAGCTGCTTATAACAATTTGAATTGCTGACGACTAGAATGCTCAATAATCAAATAAAACAAATTCACACTTTTCTAAATACATCAGATCTACTTCGGTAGCTTAAAAGTTTAAAAGAAGGSTTGTAATGAGTCATTTCTCACAACTTCAACCACACTGTGAAAAGAGTCCACAAAGCAAAAGATCGATTCAGTCACAGTCACATGGTTTGTTTTTTCTAAACCATCATTAAGATGGTTTATTTTTTCTTGAGAAGCTTAATTGGAATTAAAAGTAAGTTGAAAAATACTGTCACTGMTGTTAACTTAGAAACAATTAGACTAAGTTTACACGGGAACAAGAAAATAAATAAAGCAAGACAGTTCCCAGAGGTATTTTTCAGCTGTCCCAAGAGCTGTAGATCACCTTCCCAAATACAAAAGAGGAAATGGAGATTCAATGTCAAAATGTACATCAAAAAGGTATTAGACAATATCTTACATCAGTTCATAAAAATGGCTGTATAGAGTCACCAAAAATTTTTCCTTAATCCTAAAGTTTGAAACCTTTCAGTCTGAATTGGCTGTTTTTTGATTTTTTTTTTAATCAAGATAGCTGACATGATTTTACTATTACCCTTATTTTCTATAGCTACTTGYGCCAAAGAAATGTGGATGTGAAAGTACCATTATTTTGATTAGATAGTGTTTTACGTCCCACTTTTCAGGGCATAAGTGTATAAAGCCTTTTATGTTTCTACTATCAAATAGTTGAACAAAAACGCTACAGACTGACCATTATATTAATGAGGCTAAATAAAAACACAGATGGTTTCTATTAAGCGATGGAACTGAAAGTAATGATGTGCTATCTTAAGCCACTGCCCTGCAAAATCAGAGACCAGGATAAACAGAAATCTGATTATTCTAGCTAAGTAAGAAAGCTCAAATAAACACGTCGTCTCTCTGTCTGAGTCCTTGTCTATGATGAAAAAAATTGACTCGTTTTAAAAAGCAGTTGTCAGGAACAAGTCCCTTTGAAATAATGCTTAAAACACAGATATTTGACTAGCCAAAAAATGACTCAGAACCATGCCAGAAAAGGCTTTTGAGATATAACTTTTCAGGAGAAGTGAGGATATTTGCTCGGTTGATCTAGTAGAAAGAACCAGCAATGTGAAATGAAATTTATGGACTACTGTTCAAAGTATAACAAAATAAGAGTATTAAAGAAATAGCATGTCGTTTGTCCCAATGTAAAAATATTTTAGAATCTGAGATGCTATCTATTTTATAAATAAGATTTTTAAAAGAAAAGCTTGTATTCATTTATGAATTAAGTTTATAACATCAGAAAATAACTAAAATGCTTATCAATTAAAAATAAAAAAAAAGTAAGGGGTAAATTGGTTCTATATTCATTTTTTAACTTCCATTTATACAAAATGGATGACACATATTTACATCTAAATTGTATCCTGTTATTACTAGTATTTATGTATAATAATATAAACAAAAAGAATAACTGCTTCTTCTCTTAGCCTGRAATCTTAATATTTCAAATATTTAATCACTATAGGATATATTCATCTTACCACATGCTGCTTAAACACATAATTTATAAAACCTTAGAATTAACAAGGAATTATTTGCAAAATTTTCAGTAGTGCTAACACTTATTAGAATTAAACAGGATTGGTTGTGTTTCTGTTATTTGTACCTGTATCAGGATTTTTTTTCCACAAAAGTTATTTCTTCTGCACATTTTAGACTGCTAAAAAGAAAAACAGTTCTATCCAGACCAAATGGGATATAAGACAAAGGAGTCATGCCTCCTTCAAGCTGCCCAAAATCCTAGTCTGATAAGGACAGAAACTCCTAGAACGAGTTGTGAAATTACACTGGCATTTTGCATGGACATGGAAAACGATCTCTGAGCACAGCTGACAACTCCAATCATTACTCCAACTCCATAACTCCAGGAGTCAAACAAATAGGGGTATGGAAAAGGCCTAGTAATCAAAAAAGAATACTATATTCCTTAACCAGGATTGTTCCATGCAATTTGTTCTTTTTTAGGCCTTAATCCTAATCCTTTTTTTTTTTTTAACTCATCCAGTTAGCTACTTTTGTACCTGCTGTTTTGTACCTGTTATCTATTTTGCCCTGAAGACAGAGCAAATAATTCCTTTCCCTCCTTCTTCATTCAAGTAATAATAAATGGCTAGAGTTTCAACTTAGCCAAATTCAGTTATTTAATTCTTTAAGACTTGCCCCACATATCCCCTCTACCATGCTACTTGTCCTCACCATCAAATACAGGTTGTGGTTTGGCAGAGCCTGCTGCCAGGTGCAGGCAATAAAACAAATCTTTCCTAGGTGTTTGGCTGCGCTGGACCTAAAGCCTCTAATTGTGTTCACATTCTGGTGATTCTTTATCACATCCTGGTGATTTTTTAAAAGTGAGATTAGCTGAGAATATTCTTGTGATGTCTGTTTTGTAAATGGTATAATTTCAGGAGCAGTTGCTACCTAAAATGGAGCTAAAATGTCTCAAGTGATAATTTCTGGAGGAAACTGAATTCCTTCTGTATGTTACTACTTTACATGGTCTTGAAAGTTCTGATCTTTTTTAGTGAGATGACAGTCACTCCTTCCACTGCAGACATTTGGACAAGAGATTAATCCATGCCTGTTTAATAAAGAACTGGTAAAAATGAAAACTGTATCCTGTTACTGGAGAACAGGGAGGCAGCCATGCCATTTTGCACTTGTCAGATTAATCATATTCTCATTTTGGCCAATATTTCCAGAAACTCTTTTATCATTTGCAGAGTTTCATTTTGAAAGCTATGAAAAGAGAAGAGATAGCTATTCCATCTGAAGTCTAGAATAATTTATGCTGCTACAGCAATTTACCAGCATTGATCTTTGTGTAGAAATCCACCTTACATTAGTCCAAGAGGAATGAGGGTAAAAAGTGAATCCTGAAATTGTTTTTCACTGAGGATTTTTTAGACAGAATAAGTTGCAGAGTGTGCTATGAGCAATCCTTTCAACTGTTATACATATCCCTTTGAAACAAGAAGGACAGAAAATCTAAAGCAAAGGACTTTGGAGGGAGATGGGAAGGAAAATAGTAGAAGCCCATAGAGTTTTGATAATAGCTTTGATAAATTTAACTCACGTTTCAGAGACAAGTATGTATGGATATAGTAAAATTTCACCTATGGTCTTTGCATTTACAACAGGTACATATGTCTGACTATCTGATTAATGGCTTGTTCTCTACAGAAATTCTGTTTTTGTTTGAATCTTCAAAATACACTTTCCCTCTGGAAAGTAGTATGTTTGACTTAAAAACATACGAACAAACAAATGCTACTTTGGCTAATTTTGTAACTATTTTCCCTGCATCAGAAAAATAAAGCTGCATAGAGGAACCCTCAAGTACTCCTGGGATCATCTATGATATTACTAGAATAATTAAATAAGCAGAATTTGTGWCCAGTTAAACTCAGCAGATATTCTAAAGAATATTTTTTCACCTGACACAACTATTTAACTAAAACAATAGGTACATGATTGGCAATATTACATAATAATTAAAGTGCTTCACAGTGAGTTATATCAAGGTATGACTCACCACTCAATACATTATAAAGGTACAGAACTACGTCAAATCCAGCAGTGCTGGGCAGGGCAGTGTAGGGTAGTGAAGCTGCAGCCAAAAATTAAGTTTAATATCAGCAATCTCTTGCTAGGAAAGAGAAGGGGAAAATAACTGAAAGTATGACTCCGAATTTTGTTTTACTCTAAATCAAATATTTGTCAAAGAAGGAATAACCATATTATTACAATTAGATGATACATATTATTTCAGAGGTATTTAATACATATTGCTATTTGAATCTCACAGTTCCTCTGGCAATACATGTGATAGCTTTTTTATTGAAAAGGGAGAACTGTTCCACTCCTCAATGGGGCAAATGACTGATGAAGTGAAAAAGTAATGATGGAATTTTTTGGGATAATTACATTTTTACTGGAGTACTTTATTAATGATCATTTTGAAAGAAAAGCCGTGCTGCAATCAACACAAACCACATACCTTCCCATGCAATATTTTGAATAATTTTCTATAAACAGATTTCTACTGAAAACAACTCTCTTAAAAATGGCACGGTGAATATATGCATCCTAGACAAATATATCTTGAAAATGGCTCCCTTGAATAAGCCTGATTCGTCATGCAAAAGATATGCACCATATATCATTTTCCTATCTTTTAATAGTTTCTTTAATATCAAAGTCCCTATTTTAAGTATTATTCAGTAGCACAATTATACATCATCAGTTACTGAGCTAAGCTTTCTCTTCCACAATGTAGTATTTTGTACTCACCAGGTGTGAAATTATATCGAGCAGAAAAACCCATAGATTCCAGCTCACCATCAGCAAAAAATTTAATCCATAGGAATCTGCCACTCGATTTTATCATAGGTGGATTTTGTTGTCCACAGAAACGTCCAATGATTGGGGAAAAACCAAAAGGTCCATCACGTACTTCAATATGATCAAATTTACACTCCCAAGAAGGCTCTATGGAATATTTTTCATCGAAGTGCAGCTCAATGCATTGTCTAGGAGCAGCTGGAGGTGAAAACRAAATGATCTTATTATTTTCTAAACCAAGTTCTTCCTAAATTGAAATGAAATTAAACCAGAAATATAATTAGATATCAAAAGTTAAACAGAATCTAATATTCCAATTTTCTATTTTGCCTGTAAAAAGTAGTTTCTATATTTGAAAATATAGACATCTGTGCTTTTATAGATTACTTCTTACTTCTATATGCTTCTCCTTTAAATAAGTGTTTACAATACCACTTCATAGGGAAACTAGGAGAGTTATCTAAAATATAAAGCAAAAATATATATTAGGAACTAYTACCTAAAAAAAAAAAACTTATTTAACTGGGAAAATAATCTTTTCAGATATAGGAGTTAGGAGTGGGGAGAGGAGTTAAGCAGAATATTTTTTACCTAGTACGTGCAAAGATGAAGAAACAGATGATCAGGACTGTACTACAAAAGTGCAGAGAACTGTCATGTAAAGAAATAAATAAAGATGAAGCAAAATTATCTAAGAATAAAATAGTATTCTATTGAAAACTTTGAAGAATATCTGAAGTGATCACTTAATAAGACATAAAAAAAAAACTTTAAATATTTATTCATAAAGGCCAGTGGGGATCATAATAGTCTCTTACAAAACAAAAGGAGCATATTGCCCTGGCAAACCCCGTACAAAGAGAAATAAATCATAGAATCATAGAATGCTTAAGGTTGGAAGGGACCTCAGAGGTCATCTAGTCCAACCCCCCTGCTCACGCAGGGTCACCTAGAGCACGTGGMACAGGGCTGCRTCCAAGCGGGTTTTAAAGATCTCCAGAGAAGGAGACTCCACAACCTCCTTGGGCAGCCTGTTCCAGGGCTCTGTCACCCTCACTGTTAAGAAAATCATTGGTAGAACTACAGCATGCTAATAAACAGAAAAGCAAAAGCCACCAAATTTTTGTCTATAAAATTTAAAACATGCAACATCTGCGATGTGCTGCCCCCATCCTTAATCCCTCCCATTGCTAAAAACGTATGCCTTTAGGATCCTGGTAGGATATATGTTTTTTCTGACAGACTTGTCTGCTAAGGCAAGAGTTCCCTGTACTATCACTGCACTTGCTGCCCCTCAGGTGACAATATCCTTAGCTTTGCACATATTAAAAGAGGTTGGAATTACTAGCAGTTTTGCCTAATTTAACATTATTTTCACACTAAAACATGCAAGACCAAAATTCAAGGCTAGTGCATGGGCTTAATATAGCAATGATACTGCCACTCAGGTAGTCAGCATCCTTTCATTTCTCTCATCGAGAATAACGAAGTATAAAAAGCTATTGCTGTGCAGCCAAAACCTAGATCATATGTTTATTTGGAAATGCTTTAAACTGAAAATTGGTAGAATAAGCTCATTACTTACTTAAGAAGGCAGACTAATTAGAATGGACTAAATAAGTAGGCATTAGGTATAGCTTGCAGTCTTTACAAAAGAGCACATAGTCAGATCCTATTTACAGCTACACCATGTAAATAAAAGTAATATCATTTTATGAGACTCGTAGAAGAAATGAATTAATAGCATATTCAGGTTAGCTCAGAATAAAGATTCATTTCACTAGCTATTTTAGCATGTGGGTGACATTTATTTAAAGCAGAAAAGAAACTTTAGCTATTGCTATCAATTTAAATAAATTTACCATTAGGAGAGTATTTACTATTAATTCTGTTAATTTACAAAACAAAAGGGAAATTGAGATAGGTATATATCTTCACAGTGCTTTCACTCTGTGATATTTGTGCCCATTCAAATTCAACAGCAAAATCAAAACCTAAAACTTTCCATAGAAATGCATAATATATACAGCTCCTAAAAATAAAAATATTTTGCAAATGTGGAAAAAAAACTAGATTAAAATGAGAGAACAAAGTTTGTGAAGAAGATCTTATCAATAATACATAGGGTGAGGTTTGAAGACCAAAGTGTATGTTTTAGATTACAATGATGGATTGAAAATCTGGAAGACACCACTGATTAATTTTGTTCAGATGTTTTCACCCTTAACCTCACATATTTATAACAGTTATTGATTGAAACTTAACTAGGCAGTGTTAGAGGAGCTGAGAGTCAACCTTGGAGCATATATTCCACACACTTATATTCCTTTTAAGATCTTGAGAACTACTCGTCATTCACCTCAGGACTGCAGTCAGGTGTTAGAAACTCTAAGATGGCAAGGTTTATTGCTAAGGTAAATGATTATGAAGTCCTGAGTGTTTTATGTATCCATTGTTCAATTGCAATGTTATCAACCTACCTAAAATTTTATTCTAGCATTACAAACTAAACATAAAGACAAATTCTGATAGTRTTGTTAGTGAGTGTAAGTGTAAGAATAGCATCTTACCACAGTGTATACCACAAGTATATATACCACAGAGTAGGTAGTGTATAGCTACTCTGCTTTCCATGGCAACAAAGACATATCTTCCTCAAAAAAAAGACCTTTGCCATTGTTCTTATATACATGCCATTAGCATAACATGTTTGTTCTTACTAACCTTCCTGCATTAGGAATTCACTCTTCCATTTCACTCTAAGAGAAGGCATATGAGCACTGGTTGGAAGTCAAATGCTTAACAGACCTTCCTCATATCCAACACCTACCCTGGAAAAGGGCATAAGGCCCTTGTCTGAGTTCATCTTATATGGTTTAAGTTCATCTTATGTGATTTAAATGTTGAAAGACTTATAGATGTTRATAGATATAGATATAAATGTTAAAAGTCTGTTATATATTAGTGTAATATAAAAGGTGTCATTGCAGGTAAATCAGAGCCACAGACCCAAATGTAAAGACACTTTGAATTAATTGGAATCATGGCCTGATAAAGGCTGCAAAACTTTCACATCCTTCCTACTGCACTGTGAATCTTGCATTGACAGATAATTTTAGGATCAAAACATGGCTTTGGTTTGCTTGCTTCTACTTTTATTTATTTTTCAACAAAGACAAGATGGGGTGTTTCCTAGTGAAGCCTAGTGCTTGGTAAAGGATCAGAGAGAATTGCATCAACTTGAAGAGCACTCAAGGAAGTTTCTACTTTCCCCTGAGCAGAGGCTGCTTCACTTAAGAATGGAGCATTGACTATCTATTAGGGCTGGCAGTGCTGGCCCTTCACACTCCTTGGTCATTAAAATGACCTCCTGGCATAATTTTGACTCATACCTATAAGACATTTAGTTTTATGCATGTGATCGTATCATTCGGCCTCAAGGCCAGAGAATGATTAGTGACTCGTTTTAGATATTAGCATAGGCAGAGCCTGTGCTCCCAACTCCCCCCAGTCCCCCGAGGGACTAGTTTTGTTTGATTGTTTGTTTTTCTCAAGTCATCCAGAAATGTAATACTATGTTTCTGGAACTGTGGAGATTGCAATAGGCTGGGTAAGGAATGAAGGGATCCCATGCAAGTTCTGTGCATCACTGCAGTGTGGGGCATTTCATGATGTGCCTTTAAATGTATCTCCTTGCTTCACTGAGCAAGTTTAGAGATGAAGTACCACTGTACTATTCAGAGCTAAAAGTTACAGGTTTTGGTTGCCATCTAAAAAACAAAAAATTCAAGTATTTCTGGAAATGACCACAAGTAAAGAAGAAAATCCTATTTAAAATCCTGCCTTTAACTTTTTTCTTGGCAAAGAAGTTATAGTCTGACTTTAGCATGGAGTTTCTTTGTTAAAAGTAATCTAAGCAGGTATTATATAAATATATTTCTTGTGAATACACAACTTGCTCTTTTGCAACAAAATATCTGCAATTGCGATCACAGTGAAAACTGTGAAAATGTGGGGAAAACAAGTCCAAAATGATGGCTAACAACTGTATAATATAAATACATATAATAACATTATGAGAAAAAATACACAATTTCTTAGTTGACCATGTAATCCAAAAGGGATAGTTATGTGATAGTTAATGATAGTTATCATTACTTGTATCTCCATTCATAGGTAAATTCTACTCGTATCTTTCTACTTTTTTGTGACTACAATGTCAGGATGTCAGGAAAATAGCTGTAAAATCCAAATGAAATACACTAAAGCCTTTTCATAAATAGCTTTTACTTCAAATCTTAAAAATCTTCCACATTTAGCTTCCAATGATCTTTCTTCAAAGATGTTTAATGCCATAGAAAGACTACTTAACACTTGCATATCTTGTCATCTTTTTGATCTAATTATCTAACACAAGAGCTGTCTGGAGATTTTACATATACTGGGGAAAAAAAGGCACTGAGTTTGAGCTTGCAATAGAGGAACAGTTGCAGCAAAAGCATGGAATTAAGGTTTTAATTCTGTTCAGCCTCTAAGTCTGTATAACTGACAGGTAAATTCAAGCAAAAAAATCTGCTTAAATTTGTCTGACTGACTGAAAATGAGACAGTGAACTAAATGTCTATCCCCACCTAATCAAGGTTTGGTATTTGAAGCTGGTCAGTTATTGTGGATAGGGGAGCCCTCTATGGACTCATTTTAAAACAGGATTCTTTGTTTTGATAAGCATTTTGAATCCCCAAATTTCCATGAAATACATTAGACAAATGGCCTTCAAGCAGACACTTTTAGTTCCGTGGTCCATGACCACTTGATAAGACCTGTAGCATTCTTGAGACAAGAAGAGTTTAATGATGCTCAGAATGCAGATTTCAAGACAGCTCACAACATATAAAAGGGGAGATTTACTTCATACTTCCATAAAGAAAACCTAGTCCATATTTTTATTTCTAAATATTCTGTTATTGAAAATTGATAGAAACATGAAAATAATATTACTTTTGTGTTTTTTTTCTCAGTTGCTGATATCTATTGTGTCCAACATTCCAATCCAACATCACAAGCAAAGGAATTTGCTCCTATGAATTCTCCTACATAAATTCCCTTTTGGAGCACACATGCCAAATTTTCTGCAGCCTGGCAAAGGCTAATGCTGCTTCTCCTGCTGTGGTTGTTTCTGGCAGCTGTGAATCTTGCTAGGTGAGAGGTATGTGTATGCGAACCAAGGGTAAAACGGAACCAAACATGGGAATGTAATGTGTACATTCAGCTATTTCCTACATTTTCTATATGCCCAATAAGGTTAAAAATAAGAACTTTGCAATGCATTTTAAAAGGCAGATGGGACTCAGCAGAAGTTTCTCTATAGCTCAATTATTTTTGTACTGAGTCCATGACTTCTGGATGACCTAAAGCATTTCTTTGAGAAAGGCGTCCAATCTGGACTTCAACATTTTTAGTTGTTCCAATAGTTAATGATTATTACTACCAAAATAGAAAGACAGGAAGAGAAAAAAGAAAGAAAAGGAAACTTCTAGATGTTTGATCAGCTTATGACTGTGACTGCCAGGATAGAATTCCCTGCAACCAAAAATCCTCTTCTCATGTAGAGACTYGCATTGTATGATCGTAACATTTTTTGTCAGTTCCTTTACATCCAGTCCTTTTCATCAAAATAATTTTGAAATGATAAAAGATTGCATACATTTAAGATGAGTTACAATATAGAGAATATATATATATATATAATGAGATGAATTTCATTCATCAAACTACTACTACTACAATTTCATTACAGCAAACTACATACCAGAGCCCTCACTCAAAGTCATTAAAGTCAGTAGGAATTGTGTTTGAGGGAAGCCATCATAATTCAGCCTAGATTATGTTTGATAGTAAAAAATGAAAGAAAGAAGGAAAGAAAGCAGGCAGAAAAGAACCTGGTGATCCAAATATATATTTAAACTCACATTACACAGCTGTTACTACATCTTGATCCTAGTATGCAGAACTCTAAAGATATTAAATATGAATATGAAATATGAAATATGATAGCAATRTGTGAATTATATTTTGGATCACACTGATGCCCACCCTAGTCTGGTACTTAAGAGTAGCTAAAAGTTATTGCAAGGGTGTTAAAATAATACATATAGCAAATAAGATGCATATAAAGATGTTTCTAGCTTACTGTAGAATTCAATGGATGCTTATGCATCTACTACGCAAAATTAGCAAGGATTATTCACTTTATAGATGCTTACCCCAAAATATTATTCAGAAATCTAATTAGTCCTCTATTTAATTTGGTGGCATTTTTCAGGAATTCCTGATTCTTTTTAGGATATATAAACAGATCAGAGCCGAAAATTTTGTGCAGCATGCATTATTCTCATCAAATTATTTACTGATATAACTGTTGTTATGGTAGATTTTTAATATCCACATATAAGCCAATGCATTTTCACTGTGCTTAGACAGGGAGTAGAAAATTTCAGCTTGAATCTGAAGCTATTTTTCAATTGATTGACTTTTATCTTTTTTTTTTAAATGTATCAGGATTGTTTCTGAAATTCAAATTAGTTTTTGTATTACACATTATTCTGCACTTACAAATATGGCCTATTCTTCATATAAACAGTTCTATTAAACCTTATAATTCTTAAATTCTTTAATTGTTCCTAGGAGTTTCTGCTTTGAGCTAAATCAATCTTTTCTAAATCAATCTTTCAGTATTCCAACATCAATATTTTGTCACATTTCAGCTTAATAGATATCTTTTTGTAATGTATCTTTTTGTTTAATTAATATGATAAAGATAAATATCTTTACAATAAAKGTCTTTCAGGCACCTTCTTACTAACAGAAGAATCAACTTATATCTTAAGATAAGGGACTAGGATTTACAGAAAGAGTCGTATTTCATTTCTTCCATACCCCTGCTCTTCAATAATAAAGCATTGAGGTCTCTCTATCTCAGTGCCTTGTACATAAAATAGTCCACAGAATAAAATACTTTTTCCAAGCCTCACAGAAAATTTAGAAAGACAATTTGATGAATTATCAAGAAGGCTTGGGTCTAGAAGTATAAATGTAATAAAAAAGGAACACTATGTAGTACATATTGAACAAATATATTTAATATTTTGGTTTCATTTTTCTTGAAACAATTTTCTAAACTATGAAGGAACTTAAAAGTTTATAACATAACTACTTAAATACCARTCTCAAGTAGGAAGACTTTTAGAAGAATGGACAAGCATAAATTTTCCTCAAAAGGCTTGTTTGGTTTAGTTTTTTATAATTATATCTTTGCTTTTAATTTCATCCATTTTCCCTAGCCCTAAAGGGGAATAAACAGATCTTTAATTAATTACCTCAGACATTTTTCTATGTGTTAATTTTTTTTCYCTAGGGAAAAATGTTGTATTTACTACTCATCTTTTTCCTGGAATATKATTATAAAATAACATATTTCTGTTAGTATTTTGGAGCTATATTTGAAAAATTTGAGAAGTTTCTAAAAATACCTACTGGAATTTTCCAAAGCTGCTAGTTCCATTTGAATTAGCTATGCACCTTTGAATGTCTTTAATAAATAGAATATTTCTGTAATCCCCTAGTTCCCTCATGTACAGCAAATAATTCCATCTGAATAAGTATGGAAAGTGCAATCACTAGTGTTATATGGGCACATATTCATAATTCATGCATGATTGTTTTTGGTCTCAGTGACTTCCCATTCTGATTCTGCATCTTTTCTGTTACTCAGCTATAACAGGATCTAATTTTTTTCACCTATCACTGGTTCATTTTACAGGTATCTCTTCTATATCCAGTGTGGTAAGACTCATGAAAAGAAATAATGTAACTTTCTTGTAATATTCCTGTGGCCTTTTATACATTACTTCCATACTGCATTACCTCTTCTTTAAAAATTATGTCTTACAGCTGATTGCTAGTAATATTTTCTCTTTTCTGTTTTCTTTTTTTTGTTTTCATTTCTCATGAATTATTAGGCCAAAAATATTTTTTATGCTTTTTATAAAGCTTTTTTTAATATGACTTCCTTTATTGTATTTTGTCTAGATATATTGTCTTCCTTGACTCAGTTGTGATACATTAAAAACCTATATGAGAAATCAAAATTATTTCCTGCATTTTCTCTTTTTACTGATTTTCAACATTCTTTCTTTGAAAGCATCATGCTACAGCTTTTTCTGTTCCAGATACTCTAAAATTAATTCTACTGTGTTTATTAGTGATTAACTCATCCATACTTAGCWCTTGAACTGATTTATGAATGTACATTATATAGATTTTTTCCAAAATATAATAATTTAAGTACATTTATATAGCTTCCTAAATCTTGCTGCTTAGAAATATTTATCATGATCCTATATGCTTGAACCCTATTTGCATATGGTGAAATGAAACAACTACTGATAAAATATTGAGATGCTTTGGTTGGTCACCTTCTATAATGTAGACGCACTCTCTGTCAGGAGGATACTTGTTCGGATAATTGGGAGAAGTGAAAATGCCTCCTTCTGCATATTTTGTCCAAGTTCCACACTGCACTGGTTTCTGTCCTTCGGAAGTAGTTTGCTTTTCTGCAAAATAATGACATTAAACATTATATAACTTGCTCATAAACTGTTATGTCTCTGACACTGAGAACTGTCTTACAAGTTAAGAGAGTCCCTTCTGCAAACCTAAGGTGTTTTTTTTTTTTTTTTCTATTAAAACAAAGAGTATCATCATTAACTTGGGGAAAATGAAGCTGTCGTTTAGGACTATAAATATCTAGTTCTTACTCAAAATACCTTTTCATTCACAAGTGATCTCAGTAGAGAGAAGAGACTTGGATATCTAGGGGAAGACAATTTTATATACCTTTTAAAATTATATCCTTGGAGGGAAAGTACCTGCTCAAGAGATGAAAGACACCACTTTCATATTCACCTGTCAAAAGACCGGAGCCCTATCAGTAAGTTACATTACTTAACTTGCTTGTAACTTATAGAGCATGTAACTTGCCCTATCAGCAAGTTACATGCCATGGACAGGAAAATACTGGAGTCATGGAATCATGCTAATCCACAGCAGACTGGTTCTACAACCACCTCACAGAGACAAACAAAGGGAATTCCTGGATTCTGTTTCTAGCATTATTTTTAACCTGCTCCTTGCTGCAAAAGAAATGTATAAATAGCTCTAGGGCCAGAAACCAGAGTCCAGAAATTCCCTTCTCCTAGGCAAATGATTAGAGAGCAGAGTCAGCCCTCTTGTTTGCTATCTTCCTAGCCCCAAAACTCTTGTCCATCAATGTGCATGCACATGGGCATGCAGCCTGGAGATACAGGCTGAAGAAAGAGAAGAATTGCTTCTGGACATCATGCTTTAACAGCTAGTCTATAATAAGATGGATGTTGCTATAATCTGAGTAGTTTTAGGTAGAAAAAAAAAAAAAAGGCAGATATTACAAAGAAAGATTCCAGGTGCCAGACCTCACACAGGTGCCTCCTCAATAATGGAAGCTAAAAACCTATCTATGCCTAAGAAGAACTGTTCCACCTAAATTAAACTACTGATGTTTCATATTAAATCATTAAGGTCCCTTCAATCTATCAATGGGGAAGACAGGCACCTTCCAACCATGATTTTTACCATCTTATATGCAACCCTGCAAGTATTTCTCTCTCTTCATTGACTGTTTCCAAGTTGAGGATAACTCCTCATGATATCTCCTGAAATTAATTCACACCCAATTCAGGCAGCCCCTGGGCTCAGCATCTCTTACTGCACAGGCACAGCACATGCCAAACTTAGCACCCAGGTTTAAGAACGCCCTTCTATCCTCACGCTGCACAAGGAGACAGGATGCCTAATTCCAGATTTTCTGCTTTGAATTCTAGTTCAGCAAGGAAAAACCATTTCAATTTCCAATGTATACATATACATATACATATACATATACCTGCACCTTTAATTAGTAGACCAAACCAAGGATCTAATTAATTACTAATTAATTACTAATTAAAACAAGTACCATTGGATTTTTGTCAATTCACAGGCACACTGATGCTAAAAATAAATGAACAAAAGGCAAGACCGGCTATTAAAAAYGCTTCAAATCTGCACTTTAAACTTCAATGTAATATTTTAAAAAACATCTGAAGTCTACGTACCTGTTCCTTTTTTGGTTGCCCCAGACAAATGTAGAATGATTAGACTTGCTACAACTGAAAGAGAAAAATGAATTGGCTATCACAGTGTGCTAGTGTCTGCAAAGAATACAGGTTTAATAGAATTACTGCACAGAAACTATCTGTTTCATGTTTACTTGCATCTTTCAATTACATTTCTTGTATAAAAACATCTCTTTGTWATCTGCCTCTGGAAGTATTTTCCCTTGTAAATTTTTCAAAATAAAGACGAGATTGTGGTTAAAATATGTAAAAAAAATCAATATTCTTTCCTTTGTAATACTGATAACAAAACATTTAACTAATATTTATTTAATGTTTATAATACAATAATACAATAATACAATAATACAATAATACAATAATACAATAATACAATAATACAATAATACAATAATACAATAATACAATAATACAATAATACAATAATACAATAATACAATAGTGGTTGCTTCTAACAGAGGGAGACAAAGTCTGCTAAGTTTCAGTGACAGTAATCTCTGTTACTACAGTGTATTAAAATATGAAAATGGATATTGTGACTATAAAAGAAATGAGGGGCTGGATTCTTCACATCCATCAAGACATTTGTAGATTCCTGATGAAATAAATTATTGWATGTGCTTAACAGTCCCATTAATCTAGTTTGTGTGACTCTCTCAGAGCATGCAGCTTTACACTACAGTGAATCTGCAGTCTGTTTTACAAATAACACTTTCCTATCTCCAATCATGCCTGCTGGAAACAAATAGCATGACTTTTTTAGCATAATTTCAAGCTCTCCAGCTTCCTGGAGCTTCTCCTGAGTTCATGGGAGTTACAGAATAGGAAATTTTGACTGGAATAAAAGGTTAAGAGGGAAATGCTCACACCAGTGTCAGTGTGGACACGCCAGCTTTGGAAGAGGAAGGCAGGAAACATCTTGGTCACTAGCTAGCTACCTGATGAAGAAATCACCTACTGTGAGCATTGCTTTCTTTGCATTACCCATATCTTGTTTGCTGTTGGAGAAAGTAGGCAAGTAAGAGCAGAAGAGAACAGATCCATGCGCTCCTGGAGTGCCGAGGGGTTTTGACCCCAGCTAGCTTGGCATTCAGCCTGGACATAGTGCCCAGACCTTGCTAAAGCTAAAGTGCTGATGAACTTACATGTTTATCCTCATTACTTCAAGCTGGTGAGTTACCATTTGTAGTGTTGAAAGAGACATTAATAGACTTGTTATCTTTAACAAATATAATTGAATGATATACTTTCTTCTTCTTACCCRCAAAACACACCAAAAGACATCACAGGCTAGTAACCAAGTGCCCAAATAGACCCTTCTCTGATGGTGTTGCATCATTTTCCAATTTTATACTGCAAATTGTGTGTAATTTATCTGTGATGGAGGCCAGTTTCTCTGTCTCTCCAGAATTCTAATGGCACTGGGATCTATATTTCAATATCTTTGACCCTTCCTATATGACAGGGAGCTTCATACATGATACATAGCTACCTTATTAAACARGGAAAAGTTGAAAGGCTGGGAAAATGAAGACCTGGCAGCCTACTCACTGTTTCTTGGTCAAGCTCACCGCCCTGTGCCTTTTGAATTCCCAGCTAACAGAGACGGATGTTGGCAGAGCTGGTAGTTAAAAACTCTTCTGTGTCATCTGCATTCAGCAAGAACATTACATCTTCTACTCAGAGCTGGACGATACCCAACCATTCATGCCCTCCCTCTCCACAGAGATGGAAATACGTGTTTGCTGAGGCTCTACCCTTCAGCTATGGCAGAATCTGAAGGCAATGAAGGATTTACTGAGTTGCTCATTTACTTAGCTGTGTTTCCTGCAGTGAACATTTTACATCTATGCATGTAATCCTCACCAGCCAAAATCTAATTTCTCAATAGTGGAAGGTGTTAGACTATGGAGCCAGATGCAGGCAGTCTTTCCTGCCACAAATTTATGGGAGCTAGAATAGGAGATGCAGCAGCTAAGTAAACTCATGGCTAGCTAAGTCAGAGACATTTCTTATTAGGCAGGTAATAGCATCTCATACCTTATTCTTGCATATTGCTTTTGAGCATCTTTCAAGTATTATCTCTCCCCTCTTTCTCTATACAGAAGAACTGAAGTTCAGAGAAGTAAAGTTRTCCAACTCAGTAAAATATCATTACAAAGATAATAGTAAAAAAAAAAAAAAAAATCATTTTGAGCCACAGCCACTAGAAAGAACGTTTCCCAGTCAGAGACATGTTGCTCTCCTTACTAATAAGGAGCTGAAGTATCTTTTTGGAAAAGAAAAGGCAATAGAAAAGTAGCCAATACTCTAAGCATTTTCTAGACAATTAGATACACAGAATGAGATACTTTGCTATATCAAAAAAAAAAAAAAAAAAGGAAAAGAATGAGAGAGTGATGTTTGATCTAATGTTATTAAAA